GCCATTTATTCCCAAAGCACAGCCTTGCCCTTGGTTCGTGCCGGGACACGCGGAGCGAAAGCGAGGAGCCAGCAGCCTCGGGCACCAGGCTTTGAGAGCCAAACAGCCGAGAGGTGTCAGCCAAGAGGCAGCCTTGTGTAGGTGGTTTTGCAGAGGGCTAAGTTTTTAGCGGTTTTCTCTCTTCCCTTTTCTGGCAAAGACAAGGAAAACAGGCCCCGGGCAGGCATGGGGGAGAAGCCACCCAGGGCACAGGCCATGAAGATGACAGCAAGAGAGGTTGTGTGTCATCCCAGAGCTGGTCCCTGTGGCAAATTGCTCTGGGCAGAAACTGGAAAGACACCCACTGGTGGCCTGCAGACAGGAGTGGGATGAGGAGGAGAGGAGAACCGGGATGAAGTTGAGCATAAAACAGCAAAGTTGAGGACAGGAGGTGATCTGAGTGGCAGACACTCATCTGAAGAGGATGACAGGTCCATCCCTGCGCTGATAAGCACGTGTCTGCGAGCTCGGGAGTGCATCCACGGCCATGCACGCATCCCTCCTGTCCACGGGGGCTGGCGTAACCCGTCCCGTGACAGAGAGGCTTTATCTGTTCCTCCTGGTGCCCCCAGACCCACCTAAACCCACTGCCGAGATCCGACAGGGAACTTCTCCATTCCTATTTGCGCTGACTTGGGCTAAACTGTTTTCTGTTCCAGAAAACTCTTTTCCAGGTCCCCCAGCTTCCTCTGAAAGTCGTGAAGTTACTTTTATTTCCTCTAAACCGAAGTCACGCTTCACGATAAACAACAAACACACTGCAGCAGCGAAATGGAGGCAGATCAAACGCTGTGAGTGGTTCTGGCACAACAACATCGCAGGCCCAGTTTCGACTGTGGGACCACGGGGTCAATCACGAGCCGTGCAGAGCACAAAGCCTGCGGCGAAGCACGTGGCGGAGATGCAGGTGATGTCCCCAGAGCGGAAGGAAACCTTGTGCCTGAGCATCCTTAGGAAGTGCAGCAAAAGCCATGGAGCCAACCACCCAGCCTCATTAAGACTCCCTGTGAGCACCACACTGGTACAAGGGAAGGCAAGATTCAGAATCCCAATTCAACAGATGGAGAAACCGAGGCACGGACCACAACAATTGTCCAAATCTCAGAATTACTTCTACACCAGGGGCAAGGCAGATCCCCTCACCCTGTCCCCGGCACACGCTGTCTGCAGGTCCCAGCTCATGCTCCAAGTGAAGGCGCTGTTTTATGGAGTTGTCACACAGCCCAAAAGGATCTTGCTCTCCCTATTAACACGATTTGTTCTCTTCCCCTTCCCAGGAGCCACATAGCTGCAAACAACTGGATAGTCTGAGCTGGTGCCTGAGGTTTGAATCATCCCAGATGCTCAAGCATCTAATTCCCATGAAGACCCCTGCCTACATATTTGCAAACCAAACTCCTTTTCCCCAGCAACGGGGGAAAAAGCATTCACCAGCCAGGCTGATCGCAAAGGTGCTGAGCGTGGAAGGAACAAACATGCCACAACCTAACCCCGAGCCAGGCACAGAAACCTCCAGCAAAGTCAGTCACAGCCCACTGAGGTTTTCAGACTTCTGTTCATCACCTGCAGCAGGAGGAAGACACTGGGACAGGTCCGAGCGCTGAACAATAGCAAATTACCCAGTCACCTTCCCCATGGCCTCCAAGCCACCTCCATGGTGGGTGTCTTCCTTCCAAAACCCTCGCCACACGGAGCCCTAACGTACCCACAGTGCCCAGGACGCTCCTTACCCGTGGTCTTCAAACACAGCGACCAGGTTCAACACATTCCGTTGTTTATCGCTCTCGCCCTCCATGGCACTGGCTGCACTGCTGGGTGTAAAGGAGCTGCAGGGGTGGGTGCTGATGGCTGTGGCTCCCTTCTCTCCCCCCTTCTCTACTTCGAGGCGTTTGGAGAGGTGGATTTGCACCGGGCAAAGACCATCTGCTGTCCTTACGTGGTAGGAGAGCTTGTCTCTGGGTTGGCCTCAGAAGGAAAGAGGAAGCGCAGAGGGGTTGCAAGTGGGAGAAACGCTGAGAAAATGGTGGGAATCTGCTCAGCTCGGGGGGCCGTGGCGGT